GTTTATACCACACATCGTGGGTTTGATTATGCAGATATGCCCCGCCCCTCCATATCATGCCAGTTTCTGTTGTTCCACTATTTAGCACCTTAAGACATTGGAAAACATTCCTGGGGTACAGGAGGTTCAGGAGCGTACCTGCAATGGACCCCAATCCCTTCAGCCCGTTTCGGAAGCTCTCCGGAGACCCTGGGTCCAGCAGCAGCGGGCACAGTGCTCACTGTCACCATCCTTTCCTGCGGGCCCATCCTGCTGTGTCAATTTCAGGGTATCAGTGCAGTCACTTTCCCATCAGGACCTGGCTGCCTGCCCGCCCGGCGTCTGTCTGTCAAACACTCTGTGTTCTCTTCCAGCCCATCGCTGAAGCACCGTTTAAGTTCGACATGGAATTGGATGACTTGCCTAAGGAAAAGCTTAAAGAGCTCATTTTTGAAGAGACCGCGAGATTCCAGCCAGGATACCGATCTTAAATGTTGAGGTACTTGGCACTGTTGTCATACAGGCAAGCTAACGAGGGCAAGAGGGGAGTGTAAATGAAACGATACTGACAAGCTTAGGCAGGTCTGCAGACTGTCCTCTTCAGGCCGTGGCTTTGGCCGGGACAAAACAGGCTCCGTCACCAGCAGTGGTGTGTGGCTGTCAGCTAACTCCAGTGACATGGCAACATTGACGAGACAGCTAGGAAGACACAGGGCAACTCAAGAAAGCAGGTTAGCGTGGCACGAGGTTTGTGGGAACCACTTGGAGACCTTTCTTACTGAAAATTTTGTTTTTCACTTTGTGCAACATTTTAGGTATTTTTGCTTAATGTCGTTGTTGGAGGTAAAGGGATTTTTTTCTAAGCACCGAGAATGGAACTGTTTGTCAGATTCCCTAAGTGAGGTGCATGTGTGACGGCTAGTCGGGGTGGGGCAACGCTGGTGTTGGGGTCTGGAAAAGGAAAACAAGCCAGAGTGAGGAGGAGGGTGGTGAACGCAGCCGGAGAGCTACTGGGGGGGATGAGCCATTAGAGGGGGAGGACGGGGCCCGAGGGGAGGGATGGGGGCGTGAGGGGGCCAGGGGCCCAAGGAGGGGGACAGGGGTGTCGGGGAGGGCGGGAGTGTGAGGGGCAGGGAGCCACTCAGTTGTGGCTCCGCTGATGCCATGTAAAACAGGCCAAGCTCTGCGCCTGCTCAGGATGGGGACGTGGGCAGGCACAGCTGGGCAGTGCTATCAGGAGGAGGCTGAGCCAGTACCATGGCGGAGGGTCTGACAGAAGGCTGGGCAGAAGCCACCCAGCCCAGGGCAGAAGGGGTAGTGGGAGGTTGACAATGCTGGTGGAGCGCAAAGCAAGAGTTCAAAGAAGGGACAGCTCTTGATTTGAGACCACAGATGGCGAGGGGGGAGAGGAGGGTGTGTGGGGGCACCCTGTCCAGGTGGGCGGGGATCTAGGTCAACACTGAAGCAGCTTGTGGGGAGCTACTTGGACAGACCCAGCCCAGGAACCAGCAGCTACCTCACACAGGATGCGCAGCCCGGGCTGTGCTGAGGTGGCACTGGGGCAGGAGGCAGCCGGGTGGGCCTGGGGACGTCGTTGCACTTGTAGTGACAGTTCTGCTCATTGGGACGTTGCCCTCAGCTCAGCCTGGGCTCTGTCTCCTGTCCTGTCTTTTCCTCCTTCAGGTGGGATCTGGAGGCCATGGCTCGGGCCGAGGGCAGGCCTGGTCGAGTCGGGGTCGACTGGTGTCTAGATGGTCTTCAGGGTCTCTCACAGAGCCAGGGGCCCTGCAGAGCAGGTGGGGCCAGGTGCCCTTCAGGGGCCACTGTGGCAGTTGCCTCGTCTCCGGCAGGAGGGGCGGGGGAGAGATGGTGTGAGGCAGGGTCCCTGATCACCCCACAGTGAGGGTGCTGGTCCCTGCTGGCTCCTCGGGGTGGGGGGAGTCCAGGACTTCATGCTGGCCGAGGCACACGTGTTACTGGCAGACCCCGTGCAGAGCCACACTCCTCCTGGTGGCTGTCCGCACGTGTCGCAGCAGCAGGAGCAGAGTGACACCTGCCTTTGCTTCGGGAGCCTCCGTCGGTTCATGTACCTTGACTGCTTAGGAAGCTAGCTGTGCTGCTCGCAAGGTTCCCGCTTTAAGAACAGACCAAAGGCAGAGTGGATCCAGAGAGCAGGGGGCCCGCAGACAAAGCGCCCGTCCAAGTGGCCAAGTGAAACTCCTCTGGGGTTGACCCTTCATCGACTCAGCCTTGAGCTGAGTGCACCTTGATGCCGGGAATGTGCGGACAAAGGGGCGTCGGAGTTGCTCCCGACGACACATGGGAAAACCAGCCAAGGCTGGGGGGCCCTGCGCAAAGCCCAGGTGGGCGCAGGGTGCAGCACACCCCAGGCAGGAGTGGCTGGCCCAGTGCTTTGGGGCCCACCAGGAGGTGGGTGCTGGGTGCAACAGAAGCCAGGAAAGAGGTGTCGTGGGGACCGAGGCAGAGAGCTGGCAGGACTTGGAGGGAGCAGTGGAACCTGTCTGCTGGGTCTTGAGAGAAAATGGGTATTTGCTGGCGGAGCACAGCCATGGGCACCCAGGGCTGCCTGGGTCTGAGGAAGCCTGAGAGCAGCTGGACTCTGGGACCATATCCCCATCTGAGCCTTAGTAAGAAGCCCACTCTTCTCATAGCAGATGAGATTACTCTGATGGGAGGGGGCTCTGGGAACAGGGGCACTGGATTGCAGGAGGACACAGACAACACACAAGGTGCCCCTGGGGCTCCAGGAAGCAGGGCCCCACGGGTGTCATCAGGCAGGGGTCAGGGTCTGCCCCAACCCGTCCAGGTCAGGGGCTCCAGGGTTGAGGGCCCGTGTGCAGTGGAGCTGTGTGGCCCGGCCCAGCACCTTTCTGTCAGCTCCTTGTTCCGGGCACACGCGAGGCACACGGTGCCCAGGCTGTGCTCGTATCATAGGCCGGTGTTCTTTAAATGACCCTTCTCAGCCCTCCTGCAACCAAAAGGGTCCCACACACTCCTTCCCCTCGATCCCACGGTTCATGTTTTCCTCCCCCACTTCCTCACGTAGCGTCTTCGTCCCTCTGCCCGTCGGTCGGTCGTGTTTGTCTGTGCATTTCAGGGTCAGTCGCAGCATCCAGACTGGCCTTTCTGCCATAGTCGTCTGGAACAGACGTGCATCCAGGCAGGCGAGCAGGGCGCCAGCTACTTCCTCAAACGTTTTAGCCTCTAAAGCTGGTCCCCTGCCTGTTTGTAAAAGCAGATCAAGGGAGAGGAAGTTCCAAGCATGTCAGCCGTGCCCGAGATGGTGCAGCGTCCGTGCCACAACCAGCCCAGGTCTTGACTGTCAGGTCGGTGCTGATCTCACCACACAGCCCCTGACTAGCGCCCTCTGCTGCCAGGCAAGGCTCTGGGAACTTAGCCACACCCACACCCCACACAGCGCTGTCACTGAGTCCCCGGCTACACCAAAGAGTCAAACAAACCCGCCAACAAAACGGTTGCCACCAAGTGGATGCCACCTCCCGGGGCCCCGTGTGCAGAAAGGAATGGCTGCAGAGGGTCCTCAGGGCTGTGGTGTTTCAGGAGCAGATCACCAGGCCTTTCTTCCAAGGCCCCACTGGGTGGTTACCAGCCCCTCGGTGCATGGCCCAGGGCCTCCTCTCCTGCACCACCCTGGACCCCTAAGAGATGGCAGAAACTACACGCCGCAGCGCGGGGCACTGACGTCGCAAAACCCAGGCCCGTTCTGGATGGCGTAGCTGCAGTGGGCAACACATGGAGGGAATGGTCACTCTGGCCTGTGGATCGTGGGGGGGCCCCGGGGGGGACGGGGGCAGATCCTGCCCCAGAGGGGGCCTGCGGTCACTGCTATGCATGGTGTGGCCCTGGACTCTCCAGAGGCCCGGAACGTGCTTTGCACTCAGCTGCAGGAGATGGTGTGAAGTGAGGTTGCCACGGCGCTTACTCTCCTGCCAGGAGGCTGCTGCGGCGCTGGGTGCAGGGAGTACCTCTCACCCCCACTGTCTGTCTGGTGGTGACTTTGTAGTCAGGTTCATCCCTGGGCGCGTCGTCATCTTCTCTCCGTGGTTTTATTGGCAATGAAAGTGTTTTAGGGCAGCTTGCATTTCTTGCCAGCCGGATGGAGACCATGTCCCCTCTCCTGCACATCCCACCATTGGGTCTTGGCCCCGTCTGTGTGCTCAGAATGTTGAGTGGTAGATGGACCAGAGGTTTCAGAGTGCTTAGTGGCCTGTCAGAATGTCGTTTTGCCAGTCAGCCTGTCAGGCAGCATTTCCTACCAGCACAGGTCCCCAGAGGGAGACGCTCCTCAGGGGCAGGGACTGCTCCGTCTGCCTACCCAGCCAGCCCATCTCCATCGGCTTCCTCTTTGGAACCACAGAGGGCATGCTGTAGGGGCTTTGCCTCTTCTCCAAGGGTGGGGCATAGCAGCGGTGGTCTGGCTAGATAAGCAAGCAGGTAGCCGTGCACGTGGCCCTGACACAGACACTGACTTACGAAACCGTGCACCAGTGTGTGCTATGCTCCATGGAGCCTGGTGTAGTTCCTTCATGTGCACGTTGGGACTGTAGGGTGGTGAAAGGAAGGTGTGCTGCTGGCACTGGGATGGCTCTGTGTGGCCCTGTCCCCCCACCACACACACACACACACACACACACACACACACACAGACTCGGAGCGCCAGGTGCAGGGAGTGAGCACAGGCCAGGGGCACCCTGCTGCCTACCTTGCAGGAAATTTAATGTGAGGTCGCCTGGCCCCTGGGGGATGAGGGCTGGCTCCTTCCCATGGTGCCACACTGGGGCTTCTGCCTTCCTCACGCCTGCTCTGGGCTCCTCTTCCAGCCTGGACCTTGTGTTCGTTCCACAGAGAGAACTGAGCGTCCTTAGCAGCACGCTGTCCACTGCCCATCCAGTGCGTGTCCCACCTGTCACCCAAGAGAGAAAGACAGATTGACTGACTTATTGGGGAGGGGTGCAGACAAAACATTCCTTCAGCTTTGACCACTGGAGTGACAGACGCTGTATGTGCAGAAAAGGCACTCAGGGCCCAGCTGGCCTGGCTGGCTGTGCTTGCATATATGTGTGCCAGTGTCTCCCTGCGTGTGCGTGTTTGACCCGTGTTTGTGTGGATGGACGTGTGTCACTGTCTCCATGTGTGTATGTCTCCCGTGTGTGTGTGCACGTCAGTTTCTCCCATGTGTCGTGTGTGTGCATCTATCTTCTCTGTGAGTGTGTGTGTGTCAGTGTCTCTGTCTCCCGTGTCTGCCAGTCTCCATGTATTCGTATCTGCGTGTGTGCATGTCTCTTGTGTGTTTGTGCATGTCTGCATCAGTCTCCTGTGTGTGTATGTTTGTATGTGTGTCATATGCGTGTCTGTCATTGTTCCTGGTGGGTGCTGCTGAAACAGTCCCTGAATGAGTCCGAGAGGCGGTGCCTGCGAGGTGGGGCACAGGAGTGTGCACGCTGACATC